TAAGAATATCATAACAAGTACACGCAGTCAGGAAAATAAATCAGAAATTAGTAATCAAGAAAACCGTTCATTGATTCGCTCTTAATTAGTATATGTAGTTGTGATAAGCACAGAATGGGTGCCATTTCTTACGAGTAATTGTTTGCAGTATTGGCATTGGTCTTGTTTTGTTAAACTCTCACAATAACACAAGTCACAAGCCAACGTTTAGAGCGCAATTTGACAGAGATCACTCAAAAGCAAAATTCAAAGTAGCGCAAACTGAGCGCAAAAACCCAGAAATGAACTGCCAACTACCAGTTCTTTCACTAATCTTGATCACATCTCACCTCATAACAACGACGAATCTAGGGGGGCGATCCTGCTCCAGCCCGATATATTGTGAAGGGGAATTGCTGCATTTGGTGCAAACAGCCAAAATCTTCAACGACTCGAAAACGTTCGTGGATATGGCGATGAAACACCCGGTGAACCAAACGTTGGCCAATTTCGATGTGTTCATGCGACGGACTGCCCAGAAACCCAGCCCGGAGGAAATTCGCGAGTTTGTTTACCAAAATTTCCACATGATTGGGGAAATGGAGGATTTCATGCCCAGGGACTGGAGGGCTGAGCCGAAGATCGTGCGGGAAATCGACGACCCTAAAATCCGCGCATTCCTCATCAGGCTAATAGCAATTTGGCCGCTATTGGCACGCAAAATATCCCAGAATGTCTTCGATCGACCGGACACGTTCTCTTTGATCCCCGTGCACAATGCCTTCATAATCCCCGGGGGAAGATTCAAGGAATTTTACTACTGGGACTCATATTGGATCATCAAGGGCCTGCTCATCACCGACATGAAGGAAACGGCGAAGGGCATAATCGATAACTTCATCTTCATGGTGCGCAACTACGGCTTCATTCCAAACGGGGGCCGAATATACTACCTGAACAGATCGCAACCTCCTGTTTTGACCCTCATGATGAAGGACTACGTAAAATACACCAATGACTTCACCTACTTGCGGCAGAACATTCGCGTGTTGGAGACAGAGCTGCAGTTCTGGCTGAAGAAGCGGGTGGCGAAAATTGTGAACAACGGGGAAACATATCAACTGGCTCATTTCGATTCGGAGAGCGACACGCCAAGGCCTGAGTCTTACCTGGAGGATCTGGAAACCTGCGGTGTTCACAACACGTCAGAAAGCCGACATGAATGCTACACGGATTTGAAGAGCGGTGCCGAAAGCGGCTGGGATTTCTCTTCCAGATGGACATTTGATGAACAAGGCGAGCCCAGCCCATACCTGTGGAACATCAACACCAGAAGAAACATTCCCGTCGACCTGAACTCCTTCTTGTACAAATCGTTCAAGTTCATGAACTACTTCTACGTGCTGTTGCGCCAACCCCGAGAAGCCAAATACTGGTTGGATCTGGCCGATACATGGAAATACAACATCGAAAAAGTCCTCTACTCGCCAGAAGAAGGCATGTGGTTCGATTACGATGCCAAGCTGCATCGGCACCGCAAATACTTTGCTGCTAGCAACTTTGCGCCACTGTGGGCCGATGCAGTCGACGACGACGTCAAGAAGCAGCGCGGCCACAATTCAATCCAATATTTGAAGAAACACGGAATTCTCGACTACCATGGCGTCCCATCGACACTTCTAGCCAGCGGCTTTCAATGGGACTTTCCGAACGCCTGGTCTCCGTATCAGAACATGATCGTTTTTGGGCTGGAGCGATCCGGCGATGAGGAGGCTCAAGAAGTAGCGAAAATGCTGGCGCTCAGATGGGTCCAATCGAACCTGAAGGCCTACGACGAAAACAAGGTGATGTTTGAGAAATACAGCGCTCAGTCTAGCGGCGTCTTTGGAGGCGGTGGAGAGTATCACATTCAGTCGGGCTTCGGCTGGACTAATGGCGCAATTATGGAGATCATTGATTACTATTTTAGAGTGAAGAAACGGAAGTATGTGGGCTTGCAAGACTGACTTTGACCATCGGGTTTCGTTTGTACCAAGTATATTGCCAGAGTGTTCCATTAGATGTTTTGAAAAACTACTGCAGATAATGAAAAAGCAGCAGCAAAAGCGCTTTCTTATGTGAACATTTGTTGGGTTTTGTTTCTGTTATCCTTTACAACGCGTTTCCAGAGAAGCAATTCTAAAGAAATCACCAGTTCAATGCTCAAACACAATCACATAGCAATGCATAAAGCAACAAAAAAGAAAAACTATTAGTTAATTAGTAGCGTTATTACCCCAAGATGGTTCAAGCTACGATGAAACTTATCACGTCCAAGGCTAGCGTTACTACTTGTTCTACTGACTTGCAAGGGAGCCCTCAACGCCCTCCAGCGTTTCCCTGTTAAGTCTTCCGGGCAAATGCCGGTCCGATGATAAATCAGTCGATCATCAGCTCCTACAGCGAATACTTGATCGTTGGGTGTGACCGAAACTTGCATCATCCTGCCCACCATTTCGATCCAACCGGAGCCGGCTGCCAGTTCTTCGCTTAGGCCTGCGCCCTCTCCTTTTATTCCCGATCTGCAAACAAACACGAGCACAAATGGTTAGCGAGTTGTGTTCGCTTCAGACAAAAAATCACCAGTTTCAACATGTACTGTTTCCAATTTTAGTGGGTTTAGCTTGAGATTACCTGAACCAAATCTGCTTGTCTTGCGTGACTGCCCAAATGCTGCAATTGCCCACTGCAAGTTGAATAATCCGCAGATTATCGCCCGGGCTGCGAACTTCCAGCCAGGATTCTCCTAAGAAAAAAATGTTATGAATTCGGCGACATTTTTTGAAATTGCTTCAGCTACCTTGTAGATTGTCTCTGGTGACTCCAAGTCGAACCAACGCCCTGCCATCAAGCAGCGCAGCCCAAACCAACCCACTTGGACCAACACTAATTTGATTCACTTCACAACCGGGCGGCACTTGGATATGGTTCCATTTGGCCCCTTCGGGGGATTTCGTGCTTGTCCCTGTGCGAAACATCACCTAAATCACAAACTATACGGTTGACTTCTTTTGACTCTTCGACGTTCAACTGCTCACCCTATTGTGAGACGTTACCGCCCAAACCAGCATCCCCCCAGGTTCACAACCAGCCAGGCTTTGCCCTCCGATTGCGATATCAATGAAGGGTTCCTAGAAACAGGGGCTGTTAAAGACGAACGGCTGTAGCAAATTGCATTCAAATACTTTGGTGGCATCCTTGTGCAGAGGCGCAATGGCGCACCAACTGTTCATAGCGCAATACTTGGCCGTTCTGGTCCACAGTCTTCTTCTAACGCAGCTTTTCCACTGCTTTTTCGGATAGTATTGGGAGGGAAAGTCCACGGCATACGTCCAACCATTGTGGTCCAAAGGTTGGCCATTCAGGGTGAGTTCGATTTGCCAGTCACCTTAAGCAGCGTTTTCCATTACCGCATCACAAAAACAATATGTGTCTTCCTGTGTTTTAGTTGCATTTTTAGGATTGAAAACGTAACTGAATATTTACGTCCCGCCAAATCATCACATGCAGAAATCTCAGAACAATACAAGGTGATAATCACGTAGCTGAGGGCAAATTAGTGGGGAATTCAGAAACTTTTAGTTTTCATGCAACCAACGAAAAACGCCATTTCATGCACATATTTACTGTGTGCGTTCAGGAGCTTCGAAATGTTTAAAACTGCGTTTGTTCATAAAACAGCAATGAGTTACCTTCCCATTGCCAGGCCATTGAAGGCAGCCTGATCTTGTCTATAGCTCTGTCCACAGTTCCATCATCATTCGAAAAGTGAAACCGATCCGTGGGCAGCAATCTGGAGCTAAACCCCTCGATGGGCAGCCAGCGCTAAAATCGCAAATAATAAGACCCCATTCGGCCAGCAAGTATTATTATTATTATTATTATTATCATCATCAAGCTTACTTCATTTTCGTAAGATTCCTCCCGTATTCTTATGGGTATGTCCAGAGCATGCACATAGACGTATAACTGATGGTCGCCCCCCAATCCCCAAAGAAAATGGGGCACCCCAGAGAGTTTTTTAAATTCTTGCCCGTTATAGGGCAACTCTCTCCACATTGAGCCTGTTGTGGATAACGTGTGAACTCTCCCCTCATTGTTAATCCCAAACAGGAGCGAGCTGGGCATTGTTTTTTGCTTTCAAGCAATTTTACTGTGGGTTTTGCATTGAAACTCTGGAAAATATTTAGTATTTTTCCGTTTTGAGTTTTGACGGTTTTGACTTTGATTTTTGACAAGTTGCTAGAGGGAGGAAGTTGAAACTGGCCACACATGCGGCAACGGTGCTAGAGGCAATTCTAAAACATCTTTTTAGAGTTAGAATGCCATAGATAAAGGCTTTGTATAGAGTAAGGAGTCTTTGCCTCTTTAAAAACTCCCATAACCAGCATAGGAGACGTAAACAGCAACCACTCCACTTAAGTCGTTGTAAACCAAAACAAATTTGAATTGTGCGCTGTAAGTTTGACGTTCAGGCTGCCACCAGCAAAACGAAAAGTTCCTAAATCTAACCTAAGTTGGTCGTCCATTTCGTGTCCCTCTTTGCAAAGTTTGCACGTGTTTGTGAAGCATCAGTTTCGGGTGATAAAAACTCGCTATGGCTCCAAAAGGAAATAATATGATTCCGAATGGCCATTTCCATAAGGATTGGCAACGTTTCGTTAAAACCTGGTTCAACCAACCGGCCCGAAAATTCCGCAGACATCAGACTCGCGTCAAGAAAGCCAAAGCCATCGCCCCCAGGCCCGTAGCTGGACCCCTGAGGCCTGTGGTTCGGTGCCCCACTGTGCGATACCACACCAAGGCATGATATTTACATTTTTCATCCACTGTAGCTAATCGCTAATATTAATGGTTTAGGTACGCGCAGGCCGTGGCTTCACCCTGCAAGAGCTGAAGGCTGCTGGCTTAAACCGCAGATTTGCGAAATCTACCGGGATCGCAGTTGACCCCCGGAGGCGCAACAAGTCTGTGGAAAGCGTTCAGCTGAACGCTCAACGACTGAAGGAATACAAGTGAGAGCGATGGGGTGAGATGCAAGGGGTTATATTGAATGATTGATTGCTTTGCAGGTCCAAGTTGATTCTCTTCCCGATCCACCCCAAAAAGAAGCTGCGCGCTGGGGAGGCAACTGAGGAGGAGAGGAAGGTGGCCACCCAACTGCTGGGTGAAGTACTCCCCATCAGGCAGCCTACCATCAAAACCAAGGCGAGAGTTCCAAATGAGGAAGACAAAAAGCTAAATGTTTACGTCACGCTCAGGTAAGAGCGATTTTTCTTACATCTGCTTTAGTATTTTATAACTTAAAACGCGATCGCAAAGATCGGCTCACCCCGAACGAAATGGAAGGCGTGGGAAGAGGCCTCAAAACATGTTGTTGTTTTAAAACAGTTCTCAATGAAAATTTGGTGTTTAGGAAAGCGCGTGCTGATGCTCGATTAGTGGGAATTCGGGCCAAGAGAGTAAAGGACGCAGCCGAAAATCCCGAAGACGTCACTAAGCTGGCAAAGGAAAAGAAGGGAAAATAAATGTAGTTGAATACATTTTTTAAATAAAAAAACTGACATTGCAGCCACTTTTTTATAGCAAATTTTATTCTCTGGAATGTCTAGGCCTATAGAGCAGTCGCATTTTTCGATCACAGTTAGTTAAAAGTAGGATTTCGATGTAAAAAGAACAACCAGTTGAATTTCCAAGTTTAAAGAATTTTGACGAAACCTCATACATTAAAACTTACAATAGAAAATGTTTAGGTAGATTTAAAAAAAGATTCCTACCTGGGTAAAATGCCGCTATTTTCCTTTGCCTCGCCAATATCCACCTCGGCTACTTTTACCCGGTACTCTACTAAACTTTGGCTTTTCTTGAGCCTCCTTGGCGGAACTGCACTCGTCATGCAGCGCGGAGTGCAAAGCTTTTGCATCACTTGGATTGCCTAAAACATCCCTGAGTTCCTCCTAAAAAGCGAGACTTTAATACAAGAGCAGCGAGCTGTAGTGGTTTGTCAGTACTTCTGATTTCTGCACAACGGCCTGCATGTTAATGCCTGACCTCAAGAATCGGTCAACATTCTTGCTAGTGATTCCGGGTAGTTTTTGCACAAAATCATAAACACTCGAATTATACTTGGTTTCTATTAGGTCCAGATCGTGGTCGCCTATCGCAATGGCACCTCCGATATCAGGTTCGGCTTTGCCTTGCTGAAATTCTCCATTTATTCTGCACGTTTAGTACTGGCTCGGATAGATACCTTAAGCTCCTCAAATAACTGCGCCGTTGCGTATGGGCTGGGGCTCCAAATTATTTTCAGCTTCGGAAAATGTATCGTAAGCAACAGCAATTTTTCTTGCACTTTAAAGCTGCTGTCGTCGTCAGAAATCATGTACTGGTTCTGGAAAAGGATCGGTTCATCGGTGCAATTAATTACAGATTCAGTCACTCACATTCCATCCAAAGTGCGAATTCTGATCAAACTCTATGAGCAACATGGGCTTGGAATAAAACCTTTGCATTTGCATACACTGCTGGTACAATCTGCCTGAGCTCAATGAGCTGATCAAGTCGGAAACGCTTTTCCTTTCGACGCAGATTTCTGGTGTAAGAATGTAGTCTCCCACCTGCAAAACTCCTGATTAACCTGAATTCCTGCCTCTTTCCGGCAAAAGTTTACTGTGATTGTAACAGGCTCGATTTCTATTCCCCTCTTGTGGATTAAGGAGGGCAAATCACTTCGAAACTCCCTCATATCAACAATGACAACCCTCTTGGCTGGTTCCTCAGCCTGCCCGCCCTTACGCGTGTTTTTTTCGGGAGTTGCAGAGCCTCTTTGCAACGTCATGCACTGGTCAGATTTTCCATCTTGGTCTTCAGGAACAACCATGGACTAAAAAAGCGCAACCTTAAGAATCGCTTGTAATTTATTGCAGAAATCCGTACAGCTTTAGTTTCAATTAGGTACTCAAAGGCCTCCTTCTCTCGCCTTAAAGTTGTGAGATAAGCCTGTTCTTCCACTGTGCCTGCATGGATGAGGAAGTAGATTTTCAATGGGGTGTCGCTTTGGCGATGGGCTTCGTACATCTAAAGCAAAAGCCTAACCATTGAATGAACAAACAGCTAATTGAAAATTTCGTGCCTCAATCTCCCGGACGGCGGTGATGTTGCTGTGATACATCACAATGAAATTGGGTTTCAACATTTGTAAATTGTTCTGAAGACTGATGTAGTTTTCGCCACTTTTAAAGGTTTGAATGAGTATCTTAGGCGCCGTGATTGACTCACACACTTGAGTGATGTTCATGTTTTCCATCTAAAAAGTACATTTAGAGGCTTGCTAGATCCGATTGAAAAAAATACTTGGGTAAAAGGTGTTAAGATCGATTCTTCTCGACTGGACTCGTCAAAGTCTTTCAATACACTTTCGCTCATTGTCAATATATAAGTGCTTTGGAAGTCTTCGTCTTCCAACTCCTCTTCGTCGATGCTGGGTTGGATATTTTCCGAACTTCCTCCTGCTTCTTCGTCCGTTTTCATTTTCTTGGCCCCCTTTCGGGTCTTGGGCTTCACGTTTGATTGTTCAGCCTTTGCTACATCAGGCAGATTGCTGCAGTTTTTGAAATTGCTGCTCAGTGCATTTAATGGGACTTTCTTCTTTAGCGCCTCGTGCAGCAAATAGAAACGGGGGCCTTGTGATAAAATCTGCAATACCGACGTTTGTTTCAGTTGAACATTTTATTGGGTCAAAGCCAACCAACCTCGTTCAACTGATAACAAGTTCGTTGGTCCGAACATAAGATCAATACTGTTGTGTTTTCGGGGCTTTTGTTTTTCCTTATCTCTGCGGGTATTTCCACTTTAAGGATTTCCAAAAGAGCCTCCCATTTTGGACAAAATTCGGGATCAAATTCTGAAATTTACTGAGCAATACTATAACTTCAATTGGGTTATCGGAAAATCATACCTTTATCCGCTGAGTAAATTAATGCTTTGGCATCTCGGAAAAGCAGTTCGGCAGACTGGCTCAACACCCAGTCGACCGTTCTGGCGTAATCAGCCTTGCGATATTCCAGAATTGTTGAGTAAAAGGAAATTGGGTCCGAGTAAAACATTAAGCTGGAAGTGCCAACTATGATTCTGCCCTTATGCAGGATTTGCTAGGACTTACAGTAGTAAATGTCGCAGGGCTTTTAGTTCCGCAATTAACTGAGTACTTTTATTGCTCAGCTGATGCCAGATGTCGTTCATTTGAGTCTGGAGAATTTTGTGAAACTTCTTAATCAGGCAGTTTTCTACTGTAACTTCTTGAAGTTCTACGCCGGGGTTCAGTCGTTTGAGCTCCTTCACTGTGTTGTTCATTATTTCCAGAATGTACGTTTGCAGCTTCTTCATTTGCTCGCTAATTGGAATATGCAACTCTATCACTTGGGGCTGAAAACTTAAAGTGAGCAATTGCATCCGAATTAACTAGCTTGCCAGGTGGGTACTTCGTGTTTCTTCAGGCTGCTCCTTACTAGGGCATGAAATCGTGGCCAAAGGTGCAGGTCTTTTACGAAAAGGGCCCTCATTACGCGTTCCACCTGTGCAAACCCGACTGTAAAGCTTTGGGGACTGTTTGAGAATGCTTTGATGAAGCCAGTCTGAAAAAAGAGTCGCAAACAAACTATTAACCGTAGGTAAACAGCAGCTAAACTAGTTACTTTGTTGTGTTGCCTGTACAAGTTCAACACAAAGGCCTCATTGCAGCTTTCGAAAATCCGATGGGCTCTTAAAACCACAATTCCTGTAACTTTGTCGATTGGGAGTCGCTTCTTTAACAAATCGACGACTAGAATCCTGGCTGGCAGAAAGTGGATGCCGCCACAGAGATATTCCTCGATTCTGAAATTATTTGCGACAACGATGTTGAACCGGCTTTCCAGCGCTTCTTACCTTTTGTCTCCGGTATCATGCTCAATGTACACATGCTGATAATTGAGCTTTTGATCAAAATATTTCTGCTCAGCATCTGTGGCATTTAGCACCAACACTAGATTACCAGGGTCTTGGTACACCTTCAGAATGTTCAGCAGCACTAAATCGAGATTCAATCCTCTGGAAAAAACAGCTTAGATCAGTTTAAACTTAAGTTTGTTGAAAAACCCTACTTCGCAGCAACTACTAAACCATCACTGCGTACAATGTCGAGAAATATTTCAGTTTCAAATTCCAGCATATATTCTATATCAGCTTTGTCTAACAGTGGGTCTTCCTCGTTGTTTTCTGCCATTCTATAAACCATTCACTAAATTCGATGAAGATCATGGATAAAGATAAACAATGCACATATTCGGGGTTATGTTTTTTAAACTTCATCACAGATCCACAGATCACAGATGTTGATAGACAGAGAAAGAAATATGATTCTCTTTCTCTCCCACTCACTACTGTGATGACGATTTGACAGAGTAAGGTTATGATTCGGCAACTTTGAAGTTTTTTTATTGTGTTTATCTTTGTGGCATCTGAGTATTTGCTAGCCCAGCAGTTTGTCTATTTGCCCTAATGGGAAAATGTGAAATGGCATTCAGCCAATAAGGAAGCTGACATTACGCTCACACAGGTTTTAAATTAAAGCGCCTGAGAGAATGCTGGCCTCTTCACAAGGCTCCACTAACACAGTGGACAAAACGCCCCTGTTTCAAAGCAATAGTGCATCAGTGATGAGAAAAATCTCTGGAATTTTCACGAAAAACCAGCCAGAAAGTTCAGGCAACTCGGGGTCCAGTTATGTGGAATTGGGCACGATTACTGAGGAATCCAGCAGCAAGACTTTGGGGGCTTTTGCTGGCGTGTTTGCGCCCGTTAGTTTGTCGATGTTTTCAGCGCTGATTTTTTTGCGAATGGGTAAGTAGGTTGTCAAATTATAACTAATACTGTGGTAAGCAGATGGGTTCTGTTTCTGTATGCTTCAAGCAGGTATATAGTTTTGGCTTTTTCGGCAAAATTAGTGCTATTGGAGAATTTCAGCCCATTGTTCAACAGCAATTTATAATATGCAACGGGATGAAACCTGCCAACCGCACTAATTTTTCAGGCAAAGTACGCCAATAAAAGACTTTGTGGGGCCTGGAGTCGATCCGAACATACCGTTGAGAGCATTTGATAATTCAAATAATTTGCAGGATACATTGTGGGAAATGCAGGCTTACTAGTAACGTTGTTACAATTTGCAATCGCTTATGCCATTCTGTTCTTCACCGTAACATCAGTGTGTGCTATATCGACCAATGGGGCAGTAGAAGGAGGTGGTGTATACTGTATCCTTTTTACCAGTGTGATGTAGACTTTTTGAAAATCGGCATTGTTCTTGACAAACGTTCAGTTATGATCAGTCGCACTTTGGGGCCCGAATTTGGGGGCTCAATCGGAACTTTGTTCTTTTTAGCCAATATGGTAAGCAGTGCTCTATGCATTTCTGGCTGTGTTGAAGGGTTAGTCGACAATTTTGGACCGTCAGGTATGAACATTTGAATGCTACGGTTTGCTCAGGCTTTATTATCATTTATGATAATAAAAACCCATGTGGTTTGCTCGTTATCTTTCTATGCAAACCAAAGAGGTTTAAATTCCATCTATTGGGCTTTTCCTTAGTTTTGGGTCAAATTGTGGTGATTCTTTTTAGGATATTTCGTAAAAAATATTGTCCATGATGGACGATGGTGGCAGTTTTTGTATTGCACTATTTTGAATCTGGTAAACTTGATCATATGCTTGATTGGGGCGTCAATGTTTGCAAAAACTACGGTTTTTGTTTTGGCAATTGTGTGCGTTTGTTTGGGAATTACCTTTTTTACATTCTTTTATCAAGGAATGATGCAGGTAATGCCACTTGATTTTCCTTAGTAGTTAATGTATAAAATGATGTTGTCGCCTTTCAGGTTGCAATTCCCGCTTCGAACACGTTCCTTCACAACATAACTTCATTAGCATACACCGGCTTAAATTCCTCCACCTTAGACAGTAACGTTTTTGAGCACTATGGGATTGATTACACAGCGAAGGGCCAACTGGTTACGTTCGCCACCGTTTTTGGAGTATTGTTTTCGGGCGTTACTGGAATCATGGCTGGAGCCAATTTGAGCGGTGAGTCGACTTAAATGCCTCCAGCGATCGGGAATGTTCATTCGCTTGTTTTCCTAGGAGAATTAAAACATCCTGGCAAATCCATACCCAGAGGAACTTTGTCCGCTATAGGATTCACCTTAGTTATTTATCTGTCGATGTCCCTTTTGGTTGCCGCAACGAGCACTACCGAACTATTGCAGAACAATTACTTATTTCTGGCGGGAGTCAGGTACACAAGCTAGCCGGCTTTCGGGAACAAAGTAGGTTTGAACAGTCGCTGTTTTAGTGTTTTTGCGCCCAGTGTTGCTGTTGGACTGTTTACAGCCACTTGGTCTGCCGCTCTAAGCAATGTTATTGGTGGCTCTCGAGTTTTGGAGGCGCTGGCCAAAGATCAAATTTTCGGTGAGCGCTCACCTACGCTCCGTAAGGTTGATTGCATGTGCTTTTATAGGTTCAATTTTGGCTTTTGTCACCAAAGGCACTTGGAAAGGCAACCCGGTGGTTGCCGTTTTGGTGTCCGCTCTAATTGTTCAATTGGTGCTTCTGATTGGCTCTCTTAATGCAATAGCGCAACTCAATTCGGTGCTATTTTTGCTCAGCTACTTGGCGACAAATCTAGCTTGTTTAGGACTGGAACTAGCCGGCGCTCCCAATTTCAGGTGAGGAATCATGGCCGAATAATTCGGAATGTGGTCAGTGTGATAATTTTTTTTTTAGGCCTTCTTTTGCTTACTTTACTTGGCACACGGCGCTAATAGGGCTGATGGGAACGCTCATAATGATGTTTGTTATCAACCCGATATATGCAGCATGCAGTATTCTCATGTGTGTGCTCCTAGTGATAGTGTTGCATATATTTTCCCCGTCGAAGGGGGCTGATTGGGGCAGCATATCCCAAGCTTTGATTTTCCATCAGGTACAAGTGCATTTATTCACTGATCCACTTTTTACATGGAAATGTCTTAGGTGCGCAAGTATCTGCTGTTATTAGATTCGCGGAAGGATCACGTAAAATTCTGGCGACCGCAAGTGTTGCTTCTAGTGAACAGTCCCAGATCGGCGTGTCCTTTGATAGATTTCATAAACGGCCTCAAAAAGGGCGGGCTGTATGTGTTGGGGCACGTAGTGAAGGGAGAATTCAATCAGGGTAATGTCGCAAATGCAATGCATAATCAATCTAATGGCATTTCCTCAACAGGGGCGGATCCCACTTTGGGCATGACACTGAATTGGCTCAATTTGGTGGACCATTTAAAAGTGAAGGCCTTTATTGAGCTAACCATTGCCAAAACCGTTCGAGAGGGTTTGCAGCATTTGGTCCGCTTGAGTGGAATGGGAGCAATGAAGCCAAACACTATCGTATTGGGATTTCTAGACCAACAACCACCCACAGATTTTCTTTTAGAGTAAATAAGAGTGTTAATTCTTGGCACACCAAATCCGCTAGAAACTAATGAATTTGTCGTACTTTTCCACGACGACTTAAAAGCCCGAAAACTCATCAGTTTCTAATGGATTGAGTCCTTCTTTCTTCTTCTGATTTCTAATGAAAATGTTTGCTTTTAGACAAGAATCGCCTTATTATAACGCAGAGTTCGAAGATCATGTGTTTAGTCTTGACGCTCCAAGCAGCTCCTTGGAGCCGTTGGAATACGTTCAAATGATGAGGGATGTGCTGAGAATGGAAAAGAATTTGTGCCTTTGTAGAAACTTTGCCAACCTGAACACCGATCTTAGAATGTGAGCTTTGATTGGCACAAATCGTATGAGACCACGCTCATTTCTTTGCAGCGTTAAAACGAAGTCGTACATTGATGTATGGCCGGTGAATTTTTTGAGTCCGGGCGACGAAGACGCCTTTAATAACACGTCCCTGTTCATGATGCAACTGGCTTGTATCGTCAATATGGTCCCGCTCTGGAGCAAACTGAAGCTGAGAATATGCATGTGCGATGAAACTAGGACCAGTTACTTTCAAACAAACTCCTCTGGACAAAATCGAATTGATCGGCTAAAAGTCCTGCTGAAAGAGCTACGAATTGATGCCGATATATTTTCGGTGACTGAATGGGGGAGTGTAATTGAGTCGCACGGATCTAACATGGAAACGTACGTAAAAAGGTATGTCTGTTCAATTCTGTGATTTTCTTGTTGGTTTCTGGCAAATCTCGCTTCTATTGCATCTTTCAGCGTTAATAATTTGATTATCAACCAAACGGACGAGACTGCAGTGACTTTTATCTATCTTCCACCTCCTCCTTTGGACGATAACGACATCGCATCCTATTATAATAGTTTGGAGGTTTTATCGCGAAATTTGCCTCCAACTATTTACGTGCATGGTGTGAAGAAAGTTACATCGACTGCATTATAATAAATTATCCTCATGTGTGTATGTTTGAATCGACCGACATGTACATGACAAAACACAGGATAGTTGGATGATTTTATCCAGAATGATGCAATTGTTTTCTTTTGGAATTAGTTGGATTGTTCCGCTATTTCCATCCGGTATACATGCAAACGTTGTTTACATTCTAGGGCTTAAGGACGTATTTTTAGTAGATATTTTTTATATTATTATTAAGTCTACCAATGATGCCTTAAAGTATATAGACCTGTGATTTATTAAATTAGATATTATTTTGTATTCAAATGTATGTACCTATTCTTTTTATAAATAAACATTTTTATGTCCTATTATAGTGGCAATGAAACATTTACCAGTTGGAATTATAAAACATACATATATATTCGGATAAGGACATTTAGAAACGATCAGCACTTACATATGCTTAATTTACATGCTACATAGTTTCAAAGGAGGCTATCTAAAATACTTGGATAGGAAAATGATTAAGTTGCTTCAGATTAATCTATGTGATTGTAATCTATTAGCATCGAATGTATGTTTAAAAAGTCCATGTAAAAAAGTCCCCGAGATTTACTTAAATAGCATTTTCCATAACTGTAAACAGTTTAAATGCATCAGCCAAGGGTTTGCCTTACTTGAATAAATTAACTTCTAAATCACATTGTATTGGTAATGTGGGTGTATATAAACGCAAAAACAGGATGAATTGTACACTAATAGTTGCCATTCGCCCAAGTTACTCCATTTAGATTCTTCTTGCTTTTGTTGTACTCGGCTCAACATCGTTATCTTTTGGTCGAAGTTTAGAGTACGAATTCAGAGGATTCTGTTGCATACTTTAAAAATAATACTCAATATTCCGGTTTTCAAGCGAACAATCTCAAGCTTAAAGTCTTCTAATTTGTTGAATAAAACAAATTGTATCAAGTAAAACGCACACAATTCCTTCCGATTTTACCTCGTTCAATAAAAAAATCACATTTGACCTATACATATAGTCATCAAACTGCTCCATTGAATTTTTTATAGCAAATTATGTTCATTCCCAATATAAAACGAGTCAACGCCACTATAAAAAAAAGTCAAAAGTTATAATTGCAGCATACAGTGTGTCCCAGCACATTACCAAAGGGTTACTGCGACCTTTCTTGGCTCGAATGAGATCTAACTTTTGTTCAAAAAAAAAGACTGGCTCCTCGACTGTAAAAGATTAAAAGGTTGCTGCAAAAGCCAGTCTTCTTTTGTCTACTCGTATTACTTGAAACAACTTGCCTAATTCGAGCATTCCTTTGATGAAACCGCTTTTTTCAAAATCTTTTGCGGCATCAACATTGATAATAACGCACACAAACCACACCAAAAGTTACCACATTAGAATTATCGAAGGGAACATACGCTTGCCACATCAAACAGCACATTTCCTAATTTAGAGATCAATTACATGCAAGCTTAGAGACACCAATATCTTTTGATAATTACCTAGTTGAATTTATGGCAAATTATGTAGGTCATGAACAGTGTATAAAGTGTCGATTCTGGTATAGACGACTGCAGAGGCTGCTAAGGTTTTCGGCAGTAAATTCACAGCCCTTTGAATCTCTTCTTCATCACCACATACCTTTTTCAGTAGTTGCTCCCTAGTGGGCAAAGTGTACATTGCCACTTTTGCCCCTTGTTTTATTAAGAAAGAATGGTGTTTGGCCAACGACTGATCATAGGCCTCTCTGCAGGCAACTGACGTGTTTTCATGATTCTCCAGCTCCGATATTCTCTTTAAAAATAGCTGGATGAAGTCTGAAACATTAAATTCACTTGGGTTGTTGAACAGTCTAGCAACCTTTCAGGCAGTGTGTAGTGTTTTTACCCAGCCCTCTATGTATTCTCAGCAGCGTTCTGCTGCCAGACGTGTGCCCTTTTTTGTGCAGTATCTCCGTTTCTTTTTCATGCTCGATCATAGTCTTTACTGTTTTATATTTATGGGACGTGTCGTTATCCCTTAGCAGTTTGTTGAGATGGTCGATTTTCTGCGCGAGGTCTTTACTAACAAAGCCAAATACTGTGCCCAGCAAGTTAAAGAACCTGCAATCAGTGAAATATGTTCGCAAAACCACTATCGTGTATCAAGTTTCAGATGGTTCTCACTTGTTCAATTCCTCAAAGCTCTCTAAATAGAGTTCTAAGTCAACATCGTCGTCTTCTTGCAAGGAAGCCTCAAATTTGTCGTGTACCACCTTTATATCGAATTTGTCTATGTCTTTATGGTTTTGAGCCATTTTCGCTTGAGGTTTATCTCGATTTTCTAGGTTAGTCAGCGCTGACACCCGTCGCCCTTTAAACTTTGACAAATCATCAAATTTTTCCACGTTGTCACTGTGTCATAGTTTTATTTAAATTATAGATTTTTCTATATAGCAAATGACAATCCAACTTTAGTTGCTGCGTTTTGATGCTAACTCTGGTTTCAGAATAATGCAATTAAAGTGTATTTTATTAGTTAGTTAGTTAGTCATGTTTTTGTTTTGGATGTTGATAAGTTTATTTGTAGACAGATGTATATAGTGGCCCCATATTCCATGAAGCTTGGCAGCCCTGTAGTGTTCTGAAAGGTAAACATAAACAAAGATGTGAAGGATTGTTGATTTACTTAAATATAAAATTTTACTAATTGGGCCAAATTGATCATGTCCGAAAGTCTCGATTCTGATGGTATTGAGGACTCTCCACGAAGGGGTGAGATCAGTTGTCAACATGTATTTTCTCATTAAATTGCCATAATTTTAGGGCCAACATTATCGACCTCCACGTCCAGTTTTGAGGCTCTCGATCCTCACGACCCAAATTTGAGTAGACTGGCCAATGCACTGTTTAGTAAAACCTCTGACTATCTCTATGGGGAGCTCACATCGACACTGGATGACTATAAATTGTTGGAAAACATGAACAGGGCGACCATTTCAAAGTACTCCGATATGAAAAACATTGCGACCAATGTGGGCAAAAGCATGGTCGAATTGAATCAGAAATGTTGGTGCTTTTTCACCCGCTCGTTTGTACTGTTTTTACATTTGTGCATATATTTTTCAGACGATGCACTGATTCCGCTGCTTCAGCAAATTGATCAAATAGAGGACAGTGTGGTGAAACTGGAACAGGCCGCATATAAACTGGATGCTTATTCGAAAAGATTGGAGGCAAAATTCAAGAACTTAGAGAAAAAATGATGAGGAACCCATGTTTAGATTTAAGCATTAACTAGAACATTTATCTATCGGCCAATAGTTTTTTGTACATATGTGAAAACCAGTTTTTTTCCATGCCATGTAAAATAAACTGTTTTGTATTCATGCCGTTCCCATAAACGAAGTCCATTAAAACTAATAACTGGGTTTTGTGGTTTTATTTAGGTAGTACATATTGGGTCACAATATTTCCTCAAAAGTCCGCGATCTCGCTTTTTAAAAACTGTTCCACAATTTCCTGTTCTTCTTTTCGTTTTTCTTTTCGTTCGCATTCGACCTGTTCTTTAATGATATTGATCCGGAACGTATCGACGCAGTCGATGTACTTTTCCATTTCCGATCTGCATCTTATTGTGCAGCAGGAATTTTTTTTCAGGCATTCAATGATCTGAAAGATGGTCAACGTTTGAGTCCCCGAATTCTATGCAGAGTGCCGACTTTTGCATAAAACATTTGCAGGCCAAACCCTGCTGATACGGATCAAAACCAGCACCGCGCAATATCGACTCAGAAAACCTGAGTAATTCAGTCTTACTTTGTCTGGATCACAAATCCCAGGTCTCACAGGTTCAATTTGACTTTCAACTTTATCAATCAATTTGTAAAATGCCTGCACTGTTAGACCATAGGTGTTTGAGTGTGCATCATCCAGGCATTTTAGCTTCATCATCCATTCCTTCTCGGACAAATTTTCCGGTATCTGCAATTCCTGAACTTCTGGATACTTCTTTTCGACTGGAATGACCGGAGTTATTCTTAGATTCTCGATGAATCAATAAATACCTTCTTTTTCTTTTAGGATCAGTCGCTCCATGCAAGATTGCGACAAATTGATCACGTTTTCAGACGTATTTTTGTCGGTGCGGCACGGAAACAAAATATTTCCCATTTCTGCGGAGTTTCTAAAGAACATTGGGGATCATCGGCATTTACTGGGACAATTTCGAGTGGAAAAAACGATATTTTATGGCCAGCGATGTGACATGTTTTTCTGACTTTGCCAGTAGTTCTGACTTTTTCATTAGACAAAGATTTTTGAAATCTTGCCCGCAGATTGTTAAACTCGTCAATTTCTGTTTTTTTTTCTGCAGTCACTCTGAAACTCAATTTTGTTCCAATTTACAGGATTTATATTTGGAGGCTCTAGCAAACAGTCAAAAAATGTAATTTCTCGACCTGTTTCGGCTCAGCCGAGAGAATGAATTTAAAAAGAATGATTGTCCGCAATTTGTGAAACTTGACCGTTTTGCGGCATCAATTCGGAATTTTCTGGAAATGGCTCAATGTGGGTTCAAATAACAGCATTTTTGCCTAAAGTTTTTAGTCACTTACAGAGGAAATTTCCCTGTTGGGGTCGTTTTAGATCGATTTTTACTAACCGCAACTTAACAGGCGCAGAAATATTTGAGACCGCTCAGGCTTGAAATTTCTATTTGCATTAGCTTTTTTCAAAATATTGACGCGTGGGCGTGAAAATGGTGAATTTTTCATGGAAATCACCATGATGTCTGATGTTTGCGAGTTTTCGCAAATTTGGTCTCAAAATCAAAGATTCAACCCTAATGTACTCCTTTGTTTAAAAATGCGTAACTTCCAAACTAGAGCAAGTAGGAATTTGAAATTTTCGTAGTTCGCAGACGA